CGGTTATCGATCGCTGTCAAAAAATTTTGACTTTGCACCGCTATTTTTATAAGGCTTAGAGAAATGGTTTTTTGCCGTCATTCCCACGTTTGTATAAATTTTTGAAAAGATTGCAATTAGTCGGAATCGCGCGCGAATGAACCTCTGTTCTCCGTCCCTGAGCGCGGGCTCTACGCGCGCTCTGATTGGCCAGTGTTTTTCGTTAATAATTCAAAAATGAAGCTTCAAACAACATTTTGGTAAAGGAAAAAGTTGTTCAGAGTCACCCCAGCAACCCCCCATTTCCGGGTGTTCGAGGAGTTACGGGACACCCTGTATATGATGTTCCTTTCTTTACTTCTGCAAATCGGTAGGCTTGTTCCTTTTCAGTCTTCTGTGTTGCGGTGTATGGTCTAGAACCTAGACGGATTCGTTGGGATGATTTGATATTCGTTTCTTGTGTGCTGTAGCGAATTTTCCTATTTGTTGCTTGATATTAAGTGTGCCCAAATCTTTATGTAGAGAATCTGAGATGATGTACCATGGAGCAGCAGCAATAGTTCTTAGTGCTTTGCTCTGGAACCACATAATTAATATAGAAAAATAATTAATGTGCTTATCTTTGGTAAGGTGTAAAGGTGAGGATTTCAAATAAAGTCACTCAGGTTTTTATAAAATATATAGATATATTAACGTTCGGGTCGTCGTGCCATTAGCGCACACCATACACATTAAGAGTGTCTCGCGTTTTTGGAGCTCCCAGTGTGTCCGTGTAAAATCTTAGAGGATTTCGTTGGAACAGCAGAGGACTTAAGTATGTATTGGATAAAAGGAATGTTGTTGAGGCCCTGTTCTGTATTTTCAAATAAATCTTCACTTTGAGTTGTTGAGGCGCGAGCCAATGCGACGCGCTTAGTAGATGCCGGATATAACCGGCGCCAGCCAGTGTGAAGGATTTAGTGGATGCCGGATATAACCGGCGCTAGTCGCGAAAGGGTTAAAAACGTTGCTTAAAAGTACGATACAATATTAATATATAATTCTAGTCTTCCACGCTATACAGTGTGAATCGCATAACACGATCACCTTAAATTATTCTCTTGTTAGTGGACCAATTGAAATTTCTTTTTAAAGAGACCCTCAAGATGATTATAGTATACTTTTCACCAGTCTTCGGTACCATAACGATCTACAGAAAGCAAGGGTGCAATTTTTATCCCACTTCCTATATTTCAGTAGTGGCTGATCGCTCCCGTTATCTGATTGTGATAAGTTAATTAGCTTCGAGACATAACGAACTGGCTGTAAGCTTCGAAGACTTCCATGAGACGTGGTCCACCTTGTCCTTAATCCTTTGCGGTCCGAATGCTCCGGTTAATCCGCACTCGTTTGGCCATCGTCGAGCAATACCGTGTAGTTTGCCTTTATTTCAATACTTGAGTGTAATGTTAGTCGTAAAATGTTAAATTTCAGTGCGATATCTGAAGGCAAAAATTCTTATGTCGAGTCCGACTCGATTCTCAGGGTAACGAAATAATCTAAATTTCCTAATCACGGTTGATCGGTAATTATTCTGACATAGGCAATAGTTGTCGGTAAGAAAAAGAAAAGAGATAGCGAAGAATAGTAAAAGAGTAATAACTAACTAATACACTTCCTATTAAGCTTAAATTAAATTAAATTAAACATCCATAGTATGAACCATTCTAAACAAAATCCACGAAAATTAAAAAATAAATCGAGTTATTTCTCCGTCTTAATACATCTTTTAACCGAATACACTTTTTCAACTGAAACTGAATTCTTTCCAGCTTTTAGGTTCAATGAAAATTTTAGTTAAAAAGAACGAAAATGGATCAATTATCGAAATAATTTCAGTTGCTACTGATAACCTTTCGCCATTTTTCTGACAGCTTGCGAATACCATCGCTATAGAAGCTCAACGGCTCTGAATCAATAATGCGAATCCAATGAAAAATAATTCATTTCCACACAATTTCCACTCAATATTTCCCAAGAACGCAAGATCACCAGGTAAAGAATAAACGACATATTACAGTTATGCTGATTTATTCGAAGAAATTAAATTAACATTGAACAGAAGATAGGAGTGGTAGAAGAGTTAGACCTTGCAGGGTACATTGAGACCAAGGATGGTCTGCAATAACTGCTTGACAGCGACTACGTCAACGCCGTTGGCCTTGGCCTTGTCCAACAGAGAGTTGAAGTTGGGGTTGGCGCACAGGTAGTTGATGATACGCTGGAAAGTGGGCGATTTCAACTGAGCGACGAAGTCGGCGAACACATGGGATGTAACCAGTTTCTCTCTGTACAGAGCCCGCACCTTCTCCAAGGGGAAGATTGCCTTGATGTCGTCGAGGAATCCACGTATTCCACCGGTGATTTTCAAGGTGTTGAAGGTGGACTGTGGTGTGAGTTCCTTGAGGCCGAGGTACCTGTTAGCCACGTTAACCAGGTAGTAGACGTCGACGCCAGCCTTCTGTATGTAGTTCATCAGGTCGTGTACTTCAGGCAAAGCTTCGAGATCGCTGACCAGTCCCTTGAACTCTGGGGTCTGCAGGTAGGTGAGCACTTTTTGGAATTCAGCGTCGTTGGATGCGTATTCGAGGAGGATCGAGACCATCTCGTCGATGGGTATCACGTCGAGGAAGGTCTGGAGCTCGTCGGCCAGAGCACCGTTTCCGGCGCGTGGCAGATGGTAGGCGTTCATTGGGCTCGACAGAGCCACAACGGCCAAGATTGTTGCTACGAGTTTCATCTGTGTACGAGAGAGAATGTTTTTTAGTCTAAGTAACTCGATTCGAGATGATTTTCTATGGAAATGATCGCGTGATGTAATGTAATGTAATGTAATGATTGAAGTAAATTTTCGAAGTAAGCGATACAAGTTTTATAGCTATGTAAATCGTGGAAAATACAGTCCATTCTTTGCTCTACTCACCATGTTGCTTCTGTGGGTTATTCGGCTGAATGGATAATTACCGTGGCTCAGCAGCAGTTTATATACACCTCCAGCACTGACCTACTATCCATTACGATAAGATTATCTCGAGCAGATCCTACGAAATTTGCAAATAAACTGATTTATTCGATTATGGCATAGTCCAATTTTTGGCAGTTCCAGATAAGCCGGGCTCGATGCTATTTTTAATGGCACGCTCGATTTCATAATCGAGTAAGTGATTCTCGAATGGGTGAACATCGTTGGATCGCGATGGAAAAACATCGATAACGCGGAACGTCGACGATGCTTTACTCTCGATGCGGAGAATAGAACGCTCTCGGCGAACATTTAACGAAATTTTACCCGCTTCTTTTAGCACGCGAGCAGGCTGGACCGCGCGGAGAACGTCAGAGGCGGAGGATCAACGGCATAATATAAATTCTAAATGATATTATGTCACTTTTACGCCCTTTCTCGTCGGACGCGTCCGTTGAAAGCCGAAGCTGAGCTTCATGGTCTCTAAAAGAGCTGAATGTAGGCGTTACGATGTTTCACATTTGCTCCCATTTTCGTTGACTCAGAACGCACAGTGTTTTATCGAAGAAAAAGAATTGATCAATTTGTAGTCGACGTCCTGTTTGTCGAACACGCGAGTTTCGTTACGAGAGAAGAAACGTAAG